GCAGGCCATGGCGGCGGGGCGAGGGCAGGCCGGGGGGCCCGGCCCGGTGTTGGCACGGCACGGAGGGGCCGGTGGCACAACCAGGCCCTCCCCGAGCAATAAAAGAGACAGGTTATTGAACAATTCAAGTCCTTTCCATTCCCACACCTCCATTCTCCTCCCCCCTCCTTCGCCTTAAGTGGCATCTCACGCAGGGGTCAGGTCTGTGCATGATACAGCAGTGGCCAATAACAGAATTCTTTTTAAAAAAAACCCCACATTTAGGAAGAACCGATATGACATCATCCTCAGAAGAGAAAGAGTATCTTTAAGGTCACTTTTTAAACCTCTTCTCCCCCCTCCCTTCCACCCACACAGTGAAATTATCAAGTTTCCAGTAGGTTTAAGCTGTAAAAATGAGAAAAGGCAAGTTTCACCCTGATTTGGGAAGAGTAAAAAACATCAGAGGGGAAGCCACAATAAAAAGACTTGACTACTCTCACAGCTTCCCCAAATTAAAAAGTTTTAAAAAGGCAACAGTCTTTTCCTGGTTCTGTAATTTGTTATACAAGCCTAGATACCTCGAGACACGATCTGTTAACACCACAGCGAGTGTGAGAGAATGGGGAGGGAATGTTTTATAACATTTAAGTTCTGGGTTTTTGGGGTTTGTTTTTTTTTTTTTTTCTTTTTTTTTTTTTTACAAAAAGATGCAGCATATGTTAATAATCTATACAATTCCCTTCCAGGACAACAAAACCGTTGGTCAGTAGTGATTCAGGACATTTAAGGACGTGACAGAGACGCAAGCGAAACCCCCCTCCCCTCCCCAAAAAATTAAAAAATTAACGAGCGGCGTGTCGGTTGTCTTCCAGGTCAGCGTCTGCGGGGGGTTCTCTGTACACAGCTAATATACACACGTGCTTCCGAGCACATCCACTCGCCGTTCCTCAGCTTTCCAACACTAGAGCTGCCTTTTTTTGTTGTTTTGTTGTTTTCACCCCCCTTACTTTTTCCTCTAGGTAAAGGAGGAGGAAAGGAAGGAGTCTTGTCCCCGAAAGGAGTCTATACAGCTGAGAACTGGACCGGTCCGGGCTGAGAAAGGGAGCGGAGACGTATCGCTGAGCAGCGCGAGGTATAGTGTTCAGTTCCAGCCTGATGGCACTCAAGACGTGTTTGTTCCAGTGAAATGCTACATTCAGACAGGATTATTCCCCCTTCCCTGGCCGAAAGCCCTTTTTTTTTTTTCTGGATATGTTTTTGAAGGCAAACCTTGGAAGAGCCGAGGTTCCACCCTCGCTGTATTGCCTAGGAGAGGGACGCAGAGAACTTCCAGGACTCTCAGGTCTCTTGCTCCCTTCTTGGAAGATTATGGTCGATGGTACCTAAAAGCCAAGTGAAAAAAAAGCAAGTGTCACCCTTGGGAATGCAGGTTAAATGGTTATCGAGGAGCTACAGATGGCCAAGAAGAGTAAACTGGACAAGGGAACAGAGTGTATCCTCAGCAAGCTCCCTGATGATAACAAACTGGGAGGACTGGCCGACACTCCAGAGGGCTGTGCCGCCATCCAGAGTGACCTGGACAGGCTGGAGAGCTGGGCAGAGAAGAACCTCATGAGGTTCAACAAGGGCAAGTATAGGGTCCTCCACCTGGGGAGGAAGAACCCCAGGCACCACTATAGGTTAGGGATGGACCTGCTGGAAAGCACTACTGAGGAGAAGGATCTGGGGGTCCTGGTGGACAGTGAACTCTCCAGGAGCCAGCAATGGGCCCTTGTGGCCAAGAGGCCAACGGAATCCTGGGCTGTGCAGGGAAGAGTGTGGCCAGGAGGTGGAGGGAGGTCATTCTCCCCCTCTGCTCTGCACTGGGGAAGCCACAACTGGAATCCTGCATCCAGTGCTGGGCTCCCCAGTTCAAGAGAGACAGGGAACTGCTGGAGAGAGTCCAGCGTAGGGCAACAGAGATGGTGGAGGGATTGGAGCATCTCCCTGCTGAGGAAAGGCTGAGAGAGCTGGGGCTCTTGAGCCTGGAGAAGAGAAGGCTGAGGGGAGACCTTCTTCATGCTTCCAAGGATCTAAAGGGTGGGTTGAGGGAGGATGGAGCCAGACTCTTCTCAGTGGTTCCCAGTGACAGGACGAGGGGCAACGGGCACAAGCTGGACCATGGGAAGTTCCACTCCAATGTGAGGCAGAACTTGTTTGGGGTGAGGGTGGCAGAGCCCTGGCAGAGGCTGCCCAGGGAGGGTGTGGAGTCCCAAATCAGGAGATCTTCAAGCCTTGCCTGGCTGCTCCTGAGTGGAGCTCCTGAGTTCTCACCTCGTGAACTGCTTGCTGTCCTCATGGACTTCCATTTCACAGCTCTTAAACTCATTCAGCTCCTTCCGGATGGCAGCCTACGCAAAGAGGGAGAGATCTTTTTATATCTCCTGCTAAGACATAAACATATTAATTACCCTCTCGCCCACTTCAGGTGAGCTCAGACACGGCAAGAATGTGCTGCACCTCCAAGATGGAGGCACTGATCTCTACCACCTTTTGGTGGTGAAGAATTAAGAGCAGTTTTGATATGCAGGGGTGATGCCACGGCCCTTTGGGTGAAGGCTGAAGCTCAGAAGGCAGCAGCCACCCCGGCGTTCGCACTCAGCTGAGTTTAACCTGCCCCAACTCCTCCCCACTGAGGGCTGGGATGTCCCCACAAGGGGTCAGGGAAGACAAAACCAGTTTGCTGCCCTGCCAGCTTCTCGCCTGGACCTGCCTCAGCCTGTGAGGAACCACGCTCCTGACCAACGCCCTGCACGGGGCACCCTCTGGAATCACTTGGGAGCGGAGGTGGAGGCCAGGCTGGCGTGCAGACCGTGCCCACTTGGGCTCCCCATCACCCCAGAGGGGAAGATGAAGAGGTGAAGCAAAAGGAACAGAGCCAATCTCCTCAGCTCAGGCCCTTTTGCATGGGACACCCCGATTTGTGTCCCCTCCCCACACCTGGGGACAGGGCAGTCCCTGGTACCTTGTCAGCCGGCGTTAGCTTTGTCCATGGCTTATCTGCTCGCCGGTCGTAGTCCTGAGCGTCCGTTACTTCCACATATTCGTTAAACCTCAGGATCTTCCTGGCCTGCAGCTCTGCCACCGTGGGCCTTTGGCTAAGCTGAACACCAGCAAGAACAAAGAAAGTTCGTTTGTGCCTCCTCCAAAAAGGCAGTGCAGGATTAACCATTCCGAGCAGAACTAAAACCAGTTCCCTCACTGGGCCTGAACCAGAGACACTACTGGGTCCTGCTGGCAGCCTGCAAGGGAACAGGCAAACCTTCTTGCAGCCAGCGTAGACTGGTTTGGATCACAAGGCAGAAACAAGGTCACATCATCAAGGAGGAGGAATTTCACTGAATTTCACTGAATTTTTAGAGTTGGAAGGGACCATAGAGATCATCTAGTCCAACTCCCCTGCCAAAGCAGGACCACCCAGAGCTTGTCAGAGCATGTTACTCAGGAGCATCCAGGCGGGTCTTGAAAATCTCCAAAGAAGGGGACTCCACAACCTCCCTGGGCAGCCTGTTCCAGGAAGACATGGAGGGGTTTGGGAACCCCTAAACCCCTAAATCAAGCAAGCCCCTTCTTTCCTTCAACAACAGCAACACTCACAGGCCCTCGGGAAGTTTGTCCCAGCCAGGATTAACAACCACGAGTGACTCGGAGGTAAGAGCTAAAAAGCAGCTGGGACTCTGCTCGGCCTCTCCCACGCTGCTGTCACTTTAGGAATGGATTTTGGGGAGCCTGGCGTGAAAACCGTGGCCACTGAAGCTCTGTGTTACAAGAGCCAGGCCAGCCCCAGCAACCTTTCAAGTGCCAGCTGCCAAATTTAGTCCTCATCTAGCTCGTTACGCTCGCTGCCAGCTCAGATCTATCACTGACAAACGTGGCTGCGGTGCCAACGGCTCACGGCCGGCGACAGCCCACGTTCCAAAAGTCACTGCAGTCAGAGGGCACCGGGGACACTTACACAATAGCCCCCGTGACTTCCCCCCCAGCGAGGTAGCCACGATGTGCTCATAGCCCCCACCAGCCCCCACGGCTCAGCAGATGGCCATCCCAGCACGGAGACCAGCAGTACCTTTCTGGTGAGCCGGCGTTTGATCTCTCGCTTCTCAGCTTGACGGTCAGCTTCATTTTTCGCTGCCAAGGAAAAAAGAAAGAATACATTTTTTTTATTTTTTTTTTCCCCTCTAAGGCTTTGAAAAACGCTTTCCAGGCTTGAGCACGGGAGAGTTATCGAGCTGTATCAGATTATCTACGTATCTGAAAGCTCATCATGGCACGTCTGCGCTAATTACAGACAGAGAGCACCATCCAGCTCGATGCCCTGACGCCCCAAGCAACCCCCCCCCCTTGCCTGGCAGTGCCAATGTGGGCCTTTGCACAGCACGAATGAGTCATTCCCTCCAGCCCCAGCTACGTTAAAGATTAATGGCCATATTGTCAAAATACATCCCGGCCACTCTGCAGATTGCTCCTCCCCGAAGCTTTTGTGCTAAAGAGTTTAAAGAGAATAGCAGGGCAGATAAATATTTCAAATGGAAACTTCCCGAAGTGACATTTCCCTTTCCTCAAGAATGTTTATTTAAAACTTTTGCAGAGCGAGCTATGGCCGAGAGAAACACCCTTGAGGGAGCAACCAACTGCTGCTTTTTGGACCGGGCGACACAATGCTGTAATGTCTGGGCCACAAATAAAGGTCCAGCCCAAACAAAAACCAATTTTAACAGTTCTTGCTTTTAATAACAGAGTTGTCACCAGTTCACATATTTTCCCCTGAGGTGTCAGGCAGGGGACAGGGAACATTTCTAGAACAGGGTGTTTTGAATTGTATTGCTTGGTTTTATCCAGAGCTGGTCTAAGATGGTAATGGGAAAAATTAGCAAAACTGCCTCGTTACAGTGATACAACCAAAGCAGAGTCCTCCATCACTACCTTTCAGGCAGATTCCAGGTACACCCAGTCTAAGATGTTCAAGGCAAACTTGTTTTATTACCTAGAACCACTCGAGAAGCACTACTCACGTTGAAGTATGTTCCTCTGCTCCAGTTCTTCCGCTGTCGGTCTCTGACTCAGTCGCCTGAAGAAAAGCTGTAATGTTTTATCTGTTCCTTCATCAGCGGGGGGTGAAGAATACACCCAGGCTGCTTGGTTTCAGCTCACTGGGCAGCCCCCTCAACACCCCTCACTCACTGGGGGAGACCACTTGCTGCCCCATTTTGCACCCTCCTCTGCCCAAACGGGGTTGGAAAGCACGATGACCTCTCAAAAGCTCAGAGGAACCTTCGCTGGGGTCACAATTAAATGGCAGAGCCTGGAGTATCAGCAGCCTCAGCTTAATAACCCCCCTCAGCCTGCAGCTCTCCACCTCTTTATACACCCATCCATATTCTACAGCAATAACATTTCCTGTAATCCTTGAGATTTTCCCCTCCCGGTCCATTTAACATCTGGAAACACCGGCCTGTCAGGGGATATTGCACAATTCCAAGGAGGAACTTCCAACTTTTATAACCGAGGGGGGAAAAACAACACTTAGCCCCCCCCTCCCCGTCCCAGCAGCACCCATCAACATTCCAGCACAGGCTGCTTAGACGAGGTGACAGCTTTGTCCAACCCCACCCTAACACCCTCCTCTGTTCCTCCTACCTGATCAGCGTCGTCCCAATCTGGTGCCGGATTTCGTTCCACTCCTCCTTGCTCTTCCGAGGGAAGACAACCTTCTCCTCCTGCGGGGTGGTCACGTTCCCCAGCTTGATAGCGAGCGTGTCCTTCCTCTTCACTTTGTTAGCCAGCGTGCCTGTGAGGAGGAAGAGCAACGGGATGAGACTGAAGGCGGCAGGGCCTGAGCGCAGCCATACCAGCCACGTGCCCCTGGTAGTTGTCCTCTCCCCCAGGGTTTTGCTTGCTCCCAAGCTCCTCACGACAGCAAGAGCCAGCACTTCTGCGTGATGCCCACATCTCACCTAATGCTGTCCCACCTGAAGGAGGGGAAGGGGGGGACAGGGACAGCATGAGCTATTGCAGGAGCCATCTGCAACTGGAGGGGGGTGCATCTCAGCAGGTTTGGCTGGAGAGCCTTTGAAAAAGTGAGGAG